TTGATATTCAATCTTTGAGTAGGCTTAGGACTCTGAATATTGAGAGTCTGAACCGGTTGTGGACTTTGGATGCTGATTGTCTCAGATACGCCTCCAGGTTGTTTGATGTTCAAGGCTTGTAGATTTGAAGGTGTTTGAATACTGAAACCTCGAGCTCTGGGTACTTCTGACAATTGATCCATTAAAAATACCGACTTTTTAGACCTGTCAGTGTCTTCTCCAGTCTGTTCTATCTCTGGCTCCGTCTCTTCCAACTCTTTCTTCGTCTCTTCTTTCTTCTCCGCTGGGATCGCCCGCGACAACGACAAACCGACCAACAAAAATACAAAACACGCGTTCAACTGCATTTTCGGCAAATCGTCGATGAGATTGCGAGGATGACTGTGAGGATTCTGGAGACGAGGCTGGTTTTTAAAGGAATTGGCGAGATACTCCCGGCACGTTTGATGTGGAAATCGCTCACGTTCCGAAAACACGAGACGACGCTGACCGTGCAGAATTTCGACGGTATCGGGTCACTTGTTGACGCTTACCGATCGATGAGAGCTGGTGTATTCAGTTCAGTCGCGTTCCCATTGCGTGACATCGGCTCATCTTCCGCTATTTTGGTTATTGTTTTCACATCGTTTATTAACTTTAGATGTGGTGATATAGCGATTTTGGTCCACGATTGTGCTCCCCAGATAGAGATCGAAGTGCGAACGTGTGAAACTGTGCAATTGGTTAACTTGGAACGTTCATGTGCAAAGTGGATCTTTCCTGAAGAACTTCTTAAACATTCGACTTGAAAGAGTGTACACTTTGAAACGTATTTTAAAGTTATTGTTACAATATTCTTTCGTTAGTTGATCTCTATTTTGCTAATGAAACTGGTACACGATATAGTAATAATAATTTCTAAATTCCCCAAATTTTGTCAACTTTGTCTCAAGCTATCAGCAGTAATAAAAATTTATAAATTCAAATTCAATCATCCACAGATTCAAATCCTTCTTACGAAAAGATTTCTTTCAAGAATGTTGCGTTTGTTGCATTATAATACTACACCGTATAAATCTTGAAAAATCTAAGATACCACTTACATTGAAATTCGAGTAAAACAACCTTGGAAGTATTTAAAGAACTATAAAAAAAAAAAAATAAAAATTGACCCGACTTTCTTCTGGACTTTTCTCAAAAGTGTGCTGCTGACTTTTCCAAGGCTCTGGGGAATGATAGAAAGATGAGATATCTGTATCAGATAGCCAGTTGGAAAGACGATCCAGCATTCTCTGCGAGGGAAGAGCATAAAGTGAATCAAGATGAAAGGCCGGGAAAGTGGTAATTAAACGATAGAACCAATCAGCGGCCGATAAGGAATGCCTATATATCTGTTTCTTCTGCATGCATAATACGACGATACAAGAGGAATCGTCCTGAAAACAAAGTGGAGCCTTCACACGTGTAATTGCTACATGTGTGTCTCCCTTTGTGTCTGTGTTCTTGGTCGGAGAGAGAGAGAGAGAGAGAGAGAGAGAGAGAGAGAGGAGTTCTGGCAATCGCAATCACGGTTTTCGCGTTCTAATTAATTACGTTGCACATGTATCGACGTTACGTCGCCATACAGAAGGAATTAATAACAGAGTTTCGCCACTGAAAGGTACAGCCGCAGGAAGTGCTTCTCTTGCCAATCTGTTTTCCCATGTCTGCAAGCCATTTCACTTTTGCCAAATACCATCCACTTATGCTGCTGAATATTCGTTCCATTCTGGATTTGTTACCAGATTCAAAATGACTTCCTTTCCGAGAAAACAATCCTTCCTTCAATGGGACGAATTGTATAAAGTTTCCTTTCAGATGAAAGCAACTGAAAATTCTACGTACGTATATATTAAAAATTTATCGATGAAGTAAGTAGTTCTACAAAATATGTACAAATAATAGAGTTACGTAAACAGGTAAAAATAAAAGCTATTGAAATATTATATATCTATGTTATATATCAATATATCTATTTCAAATATATTATGCATTAATCTATCTATTTCAAATATATTATATATCAACCTATCTATTTCAAATATATTATATATCAATATATCTATTTCAAATACATTATATATCAATATATCTATTTCACTACGTATACAAATATATACAATTATACAAATATATTATATATCTATACAACCTACCTATAAAAATATATTATACATCAATATATCTATTTTAAATATATTATATATCAATATATCTATTTCAAATATATTATGCATTAATCTATCTA